CTTTCACATCGAGTTAGTTCCAGTGATGGGCGGACATAGACGAACTACAGAGAGCAAGCAGTGAAAACCAACAAGCATACACAAACAAAACGACACCTACGCATTAGGGCCTAAAAAATAAAAAAAAATTGCCAACAAGTCAATCATTTCAAAATCATTACGAGCCCTGTGCGACAGTGTTTGTGAATAATTGTCTAAGGGTAGAAAATGAACACAAGTTTGTTAACAAGGAAACAGATTATGCACAGAAGTCAACCCGGACTCACACGCTCTACGTGTGAGGGTGAAGGGCGAAATGATGCCGCATCAAAGATTTGTATTTAATGGAACCCAAAGCCGATATCATTCCATTCTCAATCTCGGGATTAAAGAGGCATACCACTTCTTGTAGAAAGACCCTACAGGTTCTTTGCCAGCCTCAAAGAAAAAAATAACCACCACAAACCAGATGACTTATTTTTTCCTGATGACACAAACACTTGCACCACAGACCCGACAAATTTACCTGCCGATCAAATACCAACAAAAGCAAGTATTTCTAATATTAAGAACATCCTCTATCCATTTTCATTTAAGCTTAGCCATGCTATTTTCGAAATGACTTGGTGCAGTCGACCGCTGTAAGGTGTTAGACAACACTGCACGTACTGATAATGACACGTAGATAAGAGAATTGGGTATTTTGAAATAATGAAGGTACTGTAGGAAAAATACCGATGTCGAATGCTCACTGAACATGGGGCATGAACTCAGAAGCGTTCAACGACTAGAAGAAGACAGGACGTCACGGTACTCTTCAGGGGCACGGAGGGAACTGTGAGAAACAGAGATGGCATAGGCTGCAGTAGCGGAAAGGAGACAGGGTGCCCAGTGGTCAATGAGAAGGGAGCATTGTCTGCAACGGCATCGAGGGGGACCACGCGTCCCGAGGGCACCAGCTGAGAGTTGAAATCAAATGCCTTCTCGTGTCAAGGGTCTCACACCGAATACAGAAGAGGGCAACAGCAGCAGCGACAAATTAACTGCAGCAACTGTTTGATGCTGGCCATTTTTATTCCAACTACATGAGCACTTGCTTTGCTGTATCTTATGGACAGCGGCACAACAGCGTACCACCAAGATTTGCATCAAAGGAACTGGACGCAGATTGATGGGCCTACACTGTCCATTATCCGTCTATTACTCCATTTTTAAACATCGCCCTCTCTTCCTTCGCCTCATCCTTTTGCACCCACCAGCGTGTGGAAAGTTGTATTCACACACACTTAGCAGCCAGAACAGCAATGAGCAGGGCAGAGCTATGTTGGGAATTACAGAACTGAATAAAGTGGCAGGTGCAATGCTCACTTTTCATCAAGTAGGTAACGATTTTCATCTCAGCGCACAACTTCCAATGGTACACGCCAAATGCACAAAGCCACGCAAGTACATCCCAGCTTCTACTCTTTTCTAATACACTACGTCTTCTCCGACAAATGGATTGTGCTTGCTTGCTGCCTTGTCATTGCTCCAGACGTCTGTACCATCTATAATGTGTGCAGTTTATCTGCAATTCGCTACGTGTAGGGACGTTTGCATACATGAAGATCCATTCAATTTAACGCAATTGAGGTGGCAATGCAGAACTGTTGCCTTACAATCACCCATCACCCGCACCTCCCCTACCAGCAGTGTGAGGTGGCATAGCTCCTTATGCTGCAGCACTCCATTCTTCCCTCAACCCGTTATGACCTATCTCATGTCTCATACAACATATGGCATATGACATAAATTCATGGAAGCACTTCTGGCCTTGGCACAATTGAGGTGCTGGTGGAGATGACAGGGCTAGTACCTGCGTAGACTCTAGGGTCATCCCCTATACTTGCGTTCCCAATGAGTACATCAAATTAAGTTATTAACCAATTTGCTCGATGCAGATTTACTTAGTGGCGCTATGCAGCCTCCTGATGGTGATAAGGCGATTCGACTGCATGATGTACCTCAAGCTAGAACAGGTTCACGAACCTGATTCAGCCCTCTGGCGTCTTCGTGCCTGCATTAGTTCACTACATCCTCTGAGGAGTGTTGGTGCTGTGCTAATCGGTCCAGAAGAGCGAAGGCAAAGTCCTAATCCCCTCCGCCAGGTGTTGCAATTCCAACTTTTATCTGCACTGCTTTATGCTTCACGCTTGCCTATTCACGATAGGTCCAGTACCTCCGTAGTCCCTTGTCATTCGCCACAGTGATCACCTTCCATTTGGCTTGCATCGAGGGCTCAAATGACCTCCAAATTAAGCGATATTAGCAGAGCTTTGGCCCAAAATCCCTAGTGCCGATTTCCTTCAGTGGACGTGTATGTTTGCAACGCATCTACTCAAGTCTGCATTAAATATGCACATATGGAACCAATTACTGGGAGGAGACTGATTATTAATGAGCAGGAGCAGTTAGCAAATCAAAGATTGGCGGACGCTAACATGCCGGTTTTCATTTCCAATCATTCGATGGTCTCACACAAGCACACAAAACAATCCAAAATGTGTGGCAATATATATTGCTCACGTTATTCTTTGCTGTCTACGATTATTAAAATGGCGAAGCCTTGACCATTTTATGCTTACATCAAACTCTTCGCCACCAGCAAGTGTACACGAAAGACTCGTGGAAATGAAATGCGGTAATTTTGGCTAAAAATAGGTTTCAAAACCTCTGATTTGATATTACTCGGCAAGATATTGGCAAAGCCTTAGTGGCTTTTTCCTTTTTGCTGGCAGTCTTACAGCTTTCGACTATCAGAAAACCTGTTTCCCATTTTGAGATGGGTGAGACAAATTGACGTCTCAGGAGGTAGAGGAATATCCACTTCTCCCCAGACAACAAAATCACACTATCTACATATGATTAGGTGCTGGTTTCCAGCTTGGGAAAAAGGCTACTACTGCCATATAGCGCCATTAAATAGGCAAGTAACACCGCATTACAAACTGTGTGTTGGCTTTGGCAAAAGTCCTTCGATGGTATCGTATGTAGCTGATTTTAGCTAGGTCGCGCAGAATACAAACCCTCTCAGTTGCACCACAGACGAGAATTTTGCATGCCTAATTTGCTGCTGCGAAAGTGACCTCACTGACTTGCTAATTGCGAAAATAACCATTTCATTTCTCCCTTCATGTGACTCACCGCATGTTCTCCCAGTAGCATTTCGTCCGACAATAGTAATTCATTGCTGCTGCGCAGATGACGACTTAGTACAACGTTCCTTCATTCCATTGACATGCCAATGCAGTTCATGTAGAACCGGTGGTACTGCCTCTACAACATTCTATCTCCTCACAACATGGCAAAGTGTTGCGCAAACCATAGGATAGGCGCCAACGATTGCTCTACAAAATTGAGGCTGGTTTTGCGCGACTCATTACACAATCTAAACAAACGCTATCTCGAACGATCCATTCGATTGATGCTCGGCAGATTTCGGCTGAAAAGTTCCTTATGCTGAAATTCATGTAAGGAAGGATCGGACTGTACTCATCTCACACTCTAGACTTTTTGTATATTCGCTCTTGAAAGAAATTCCTTCTAGGCCGATCGTTTCTACCAAGGCTTAATGACAAAATTATCGACAGACATTCCTGACGTTAGTGTCTTTGGCAATGCACCTGTAAGTCAGTGCTCTTAATAGAATGTCTTTTCAACTCCTGCGTATAGAAGCGCAGCAGAGGAATTCGCCTCCCAGCACCAATGCCCAGAGACCTAGGAATGAGGTCTGCTTATGTGTGCACCATCACTCTCATGCTTAATTAAGGCGCCCGCTGGGTGTGCTAGACATCAGCATTCACTTTGCCTGAAATTTTGCTCCAATAAACCACGTCTTTCCACACCACGTGTTCACATATTCCCTTACACACTGTAGGATCGATGTTATAACTCGAGTTGTAGTTTTATCTAACCAGTAAGAAAAAGGTGTTAGCATACCCTTGTGGTCAAATTACCTCACGATATTGAGTTTTTGATTCTACAAACAGCGTTGTTGTTATAATACGCCTTAGATAGTGGAAACAGTACCAAAGTCTAGACTTTTTCATATGCGCCTTTTTGGGACAGTCCATTTGGTAGCCAGCCTGTCCAAAAGCACGACTTTTGGAACCCTGGTAAGCATAGTTCTTCTTTTATACACTAAATGGCCCTATTCTTCTGAGGCCTGGTATTTTACAATAAGTAGGGCAATAACGCATTCGAGACCTGCAGGATTTGAATGCAATCCAGTTACCGGCTGATTTGACTATGTCAAAGACACTTTAGTAGTCATGCTGCAACTAATCTACGAAAATACTTCCAGCGATGCCAAAATATTTAGCTAATACACTGTCAATAGGGACTGAACCTCGGCACCTCTTTGCGAGTGTCCAATCATGTAGTTCGAAGCATTTGAATCAAAAAGTTAAATGTACTTAATTATAATTTGCGGAGAGGCAGTATATTTTCCACATCATTGCTCAATCCGACTTCTTTACATGAATCTAACGTACTTTCCGTTTGTAGAGAGTGCACTGAAGCATAAGAGCGTGAGTTATTATTGCTTACAGAAGTATGGTAAATGGCTTTACTACCAAATCAGTTAGCTTGCAGGGCCTGAAGACGGTAAGCATGCTTTTGCAAATGGAGTGGTAAAACGGAACATAACTAACCCAGCTGTGAATGGCACTTTTCACTTAAGCCTTTTCTTGCCCCGTGTGCTACGCGTTTGCAGGCACCATGCCAACGCTGGCGCATGATCGCGCCTGGTGCGCCAACATTCATGCACGTCATTCATGGTTGCCTCGGTTCCACCGCGCACCTTATACTCTGCGCCTTCGCCCTCCTCAATAGTCTCTACATTGTCGCCACGACCATCGAAAGTATACTTCTATCATACCTACCCTAGCACTTACGATTGAAGGGGACGAGGCTAGATGTCAGCAAGATTTGTTAAACGCTTCCTTATAAATTGACTCGTGTGAACGTACCCCCAAAAGGGCTTAAGTTCTCCTTATCCGATAAGACTAAATCGCTGAATGGAAATAAGAACGCTAAAGCGCAAGCATTAAATATGGCACATACTCACGCAAAACTTCTGGGTAGCCGAACACATTGCAGATCCTAGTGATGTGACTCCACATGGAGACTTGCTGAAGCAGCTTAACTCCTCATTAACAGTTGCGGGATTGAAATATGGCCCTTATTCTCTTCTCCATCAAACACATCAGCGTTTAGCTCAATACAAAACAATGAGCAAGCGGGTAGAGAATACACTGAATGTGACCGCACACATCGCACTTTGCCCACAGGGCGTCATATAATTTCATTAAAAGGAAAAATTGGTACTTGGGTAATTATAACCACGCATTTACAATATTATCCGGTGGCGGAAATTTCGAGAATCAAGATGAGTAGTTAAAAGTTAAGTTGCAATGTTGTTCATCGATAAGCTGAATGAAAGGATATGCAGATTCAATTTTTGATAATAGCAGGTGACGCATGTAACAGGATCATGTCGAAATATTCATGTAGTTGGTAGTAAGGAAAAGGCAATGAGGGAAGTGGAAGACAAACTGGTATGAATATACCTAATCCTAAAATACCCTAAAGCTCTACTAGCGCGTGCTCTGTGTATCTGATAAAACTCCAGTGTGCAAAGCAGTATTTATATTAAATCTGTATAAATCGGCCCCTCAATCCAGTTGCCGACTTCGCTAATTTACAGGCACCTCGATTGGATTTTATTTATGGTGGATGTTTTACATTCAACATCAAAGCGTGAAAAAGTATGCTAGATGCAAAAGAAGAAAGCAAAGCAAGCTGAAATCAAATGATGACTAGTTACCTCAACTATATTTAACCGAATTATCACGGAGGCTGCGCCCTCGTATTATTTTTAATGTAAACTAGATTTGAACATAGCCAAATATATACACTCACTAATTATTTGACTTTTGGCATAAGTAGATAGGAGATGACCTACATTTAAAGAACACTGTAACCTTGGCGCAGTTTAAATTCGCGGATGTGGACTGCCGCTGTAACGCAGTATTTTGGATGCCGAAACAGGGGTCGCAGTGCGTTTACTTGTAAAATCTCGCGTCAAATTAAATCCGGCACCGTTTGTTCTTCCCTACTATGCAAAGTTTGCCCATTTTTACAATTATTTTCATAGGAACTGCAAACTTCATCTATTGTCCGGGCACGTTTTTTTGCAAATTTATGAAGTATTGAATTCTGGCAGTACTATTTCCACCGTTGCTAAGCCTATAGAAAGCTTACGTTTGTTAAAACGTCCATGTTAGTTTCGATGTTAGGTTGAAGGTTTGCTGAATATTTCGTCAATATGTATTAAAATTTTGAGTTTTTTATTTATGTAGACACGTATCTGCCTTATATCAAGTTTCTATCATCCATCAAACACCTCTGTCACTTGACACTTCTTGCTTCTACTGCTGTGTATTTTATCTGATGAGAACCTTACTCTTTTGCATACATTTCTGTATCATTTATTCGTGGGTTACACTTATCTAAATTTCGTCATTTTGTGCTGCCTAATTGAACGTTATGTGACAGTAGTTCCATTTGCAGGTCAGTTGTACATGCTTTTGAAGCCTGAAACATCAGCAGTAAAAGACAATTTTTTCAACCTGTCTGATAAAAAGGTTTAATTCTCTCAAACATTATTCTAAGTCATTCGGGAATCCTATATTTTCAAAAAAACGGAGTCTCTTAAGATTGGTACTGGCATATATCCCTTCTGCTGAGAAGCCCACATAGTTGTTTACCCTAGTAGACAATAGTGATTAATCCCTGCAAAAATACTGGGTTGTCATCGCAATGGTAGTGTTATGTCGAATATTATCTGTGAAACCAATTCTAGTTTCTTTCATCCCGTACCGATTTTTGTCTATTAAACTTTAATGGCGTTTGGTAAGTGCAACTTTTCATTCTATGGCTTTGAATTAAAAGCACCATGAAACTGCTACTGCCTAAAAATTGTTTATATAATGCTAATCAATGTAAAAGTCGTAGATAGAGTATTTTTAAACGTGAAAGTGAAGAGTCTTGTATCCTTTTATCACCGTTAACGCATTTACCTTGTTTTTTCCCGTTTGGGAAACCGGAATGAATGTCTACTTAAGTTTCCCTACGCACCGTTTTGGATGCGTTTAGTTGCCTACTTTGATATCCACAGTTATCATTATTTTTGCAACCTCCATCCAAAGCTACACCGGAAAATTCTATCTAAATGGAATTATTTGCTCATTCTGGCTCTGTAGTCGCATAGGCGTCAGTCCATTCAGGCTTTACAAAGGTTGAAAACGCCTCTCTAAGAAAAAGTTACAGCGACAAGGTATGATAAACAGCATCTCCGCAAAGCTTTGTGGTCTTAAGACCCCGCTGGAGGAGGCAAGCGGGTCAAGGCGTCACGTATATGTGACTCTACTAGCGACCGTAATGTGCCCGAAACGTTCTGTTATGTGCGTTCATTTTTTCATCATTTTACGCTCTTTACAAGACATAACAAAAGAAAAATGATTCGAGGTAGCGAGTTTGCACATCTTGCAAAAAATCACCCTCAAGTTACTTCGCCTGTAAACTACAAGGGTCCCAACATTTGAGAGTTGATTTATATGCTATAAACCAAAATCGTCCGTGTAATAGGACGCCTTACCAATGTTATACACAAATACTGGAGTTTGAACGCATGACGAAGGCGCCTTGTCCTTTCTTAAATAATGGTTTGGCTTGTCACGTACCCCTCTAATTCTTGGTGAGAACTGCAACGCCCATCCATTTGGTGAGCATTCTGTTTGTACAGTATCAATTTAGAACTTTAGGAGTGGGAAGCTCTCTCCGACTAATGCTATTGCGATGTAAGAATGTGTAAATGTCCTATTTTGCCTTCTCTTCATTCTCAAAAACTTCTTCTTTTAGCCATGGTCAACAGCATGTTTTTAGGAGGACATCTTCCAACCATTAACATTGACAATGAAACTGCTTTGATTATTGTTGCCAACATCTCTTCTGACTATTAGTTATGCTCGATAGAAGCCTCTGCAGCGAAGGGTTCCACTGCATTGCCAAAGTGTTGCCACATTTACATTAATGATACACTTGCAGAGAGCGCCCTCCAAAATTCGGTTTGTTCCACTGATTATGCATATTAATGTCTTATTGTTCTAATCCAAACTTTGCAGCCTTTTCTTTGAATGAAAGTACTTTGAGCAAATGCCCTCAAACTTCTATGCGACAATGTCTAGTGAGCTGATAAGCGGATTCCGAACTGTGCAACTTATTAAATTAGAAAGTTATTTGTGCCTGTTACATGTCTGGGTGTGGACTCCACTCAGTCATATCGAAGAATACGTCAATGAATTAGTACAAATTATTACTGTACTTGTTGCTGAAATGTGCGAAAATGTCGACGGTATGTCTTACCTCCTTCCATTTGGCTCTGCAGGGCTTTCACACTACTTATGATGCCAGTTATTGCTGCCGCGATATTGTCCTGCAACAATGCTGGCTTGATGAGTTGGGAAAGGCGCAAATGCACTGTATTTGCAACGGAGATACTGCAGACAGTCGTAACAATTCGGATGCAGCTTTCAACGTCATCAAAATATATGACATCTTTGATTAATGCAAAGTAAAAGAGCTGATTTTCTTAAATATTTCAAAAATCCTATCAATACTTCTTAAGAGAAGTATGGATTTTCGAGTTGACAGATAATTCTGTCGGTATAAGGAAGTAGTGTACTAGCTGGACTTTTCATTTTTAGGGCACATCGCATTGGCTGTCGGAGATCATTCCTTGTACTCGGAGACATTGAGTAGGGACCAAGAGACGCCGTCTGGACGGAGAAAGAGTAATCCTTGCTCAATGCCATTCTTGGTGCCCTGCATGCCCTCTATGACGCAATGCACGCCTATTTTTGTCCTCTTTAGCCACTAGAACTGCGAGAGGCATTTATCCGAAAAAGCGAGGAAGTTTGATTATCTGTTAGTGTTTGGTGCTTCAAAGAGTATCTTGAGGGTGAACTACTCAACGGAGGAGGGATGATGTGTGGCCTGCGACATCGCCGGATCGGATCCAGAGCGACTGTCCACCTCCATACCCAAGTAGATCGACCCTTGTGCATACTTGCTCATGGCGGTTGTTAATGGAGCCTCTATGGGTGAGGCAGCTACCATCCGCACTTAGACTTCTAATTTTTGGGGTAACCCGAGAAATACTAATGACCTTAGGAGTTAAGCGGCACAATGGAAAGGTGGTGCACTCGACATACGAGGGTGGTTCACCGGTGGACACAACACTTTTTTTCTAATCGGCAAGGGCATCACCTACAACACAATTGGCATGGATGTGAAAGTGGGCGGCATGATGCCGGGTATTCGCCATGACAAGAGTGTGGCCACAGCAGTAGTATATACGTGGTGCAACGGACCTTGTGCGCAGAAGCATCAGTTCCAACGGTTACACAACTGACGAGATCATCACTTCACGTGCCGGTTGGAGCGTCTGTATGGGCAAAACCGACGACCTGCTCTGTGAGGAGAAAGAACAGGTTATTCAAATGCCTATCCCTATTAACCACCAGCAAGTTATCATCTGTTTTTATGGGTTTTTAATCTACCACTAGTTGTCCTGAGTAATTTAATATACTTTAAAGCCTTAATGCTAAGATTTTCATTCTTTCCTTTATCATATTCACGATTCGGAGGCTATAGCAGACCGTCTGCGTGTAGTTGTGGGATTTTACATGACCATCTTGCCGCCATTCATTTATTCTCCCAGCCTTTGCAATTGTAGGTGGTGAATGCCGTTAATCCATTTCAATTTACATTCGCTACACTAACCGCCTACTTGGTTGCGCATACAATCGCTACACCGCAAGATGCACAATCCATTACATTGCGACTTATGTAAACATAAGCAGTATAAATTGTATTTCTTCATTAGGCCATCATGGACGACGGTCCCGCACGCAAGCTAGGCGTCACAAGCGACCTACAGGGAGCAGGTGATCAAGTACCTGACATGGTTGAGGTGCTACTGGCATAATATTCTGCTTATATTGACGGTTTAGAGAACTCTGAAAGGGCTACGTGTGGATGTTTTATAAATGAAGATGTCAACGATTCGGAGAGAGGACTATGAAGTAGTCGAGGGTTATAGCGAATACGAAGATCCCCTTCAATGCAACAATCCCCCTAGTAACGCAAACACTCTTGAGCACCAGTTTTCCGCCTCCTATATGATTACTGCTAGCGGTTTGGATGATGTCAAGTCCTCTTCTACTTTTACAGTCAAACTATATGCTCCATCCGATTGCGTTCACACAAACAGGTGTAGTTCGTGTAAGCGGGCACTCACTATATACACTGACTTTGATACTTAGTTATTCACTTATATTTCCTCATTAATTAAACTGTCTTTCGGTTGTGTAGCACGGTCTAGATTCTGAGAAGAAGCATCTGCCCTATACCCATCTCGACATCGCCGGCAGCGCTGGTGACATTGACGTCCTTCCTACTAAAGCCCCGCTACTAATATTTGCCAGTATGTACGTCCTCTACTGCCTCTGAGGTCGACGACCTATTCATCCACCATTGGTGTGGATATTGTTATATTTTGAAATGCTTGACAATGACTGACTTATGTGTACCTCAAGGCTTTCCTGCTCCATCCTGATATCAATACCAGATGTATCCTAGCAAGTCTTTCCGTTTTTTGCAGGAGATCATATTTGAGTTCGCAGAAGGGAATTACTTCTATCCCAATTGGTTTAAATGAAGAAAATAGGAATTTAGCACTCGATTTCTTCATAAGGTAGGATAGATATGGAGAAGGCCTCAGTATGGGTTCAAAGAAGGGTTAAAGAACTGCTAGAAGAACAACGAATGATCATAACACCTGTTTTGTTTCACAGCTCCTCTTCCCGAGCATTCTTCGTATTCTCGCCTCCGTAATAGTAGCCACTACGTAGTTTGGGCCTTAAAAATTACCGGAAATTGAGTCCATTGCACAGACTTGCAAAGGCTAAAGATTCAGCCAGAAAAGGGTGAGCGACAGTGCGATATCAAGTGTACTAGGACATTTAGCCTAAGAATCGGAGGCCTTTAAAAATTAAAGCAAATGTTTGATAGAGGTATACTTCACACCTCGTACTCCGGTTGCTGCACCATTTGATCCCACCCTAACCATAGCCGTGCCAAACAGATGTAATGCAACACGTGCGCATCCGAGCCCAAGCTACATGTGATGTCAAAACCAATATCAGCTACACAAATTACCCATTACTTTACTCACTACCATCACTACTGCATTCACAAATCTCTCATACTAAACAGAGGGCGGCTGTCATGCAGAGGCGCAACAACACCTCCTCCCGCATCAACCCGAATGACTCTAGAATGATTAACACGATCACCTCTGCCTCTACCAGCCCATGCTATTTACTTGACTCTGACACTCCACAGTCTCTCCAAACAATGATCCCACCATAGGAACCAACAGCAGTGCACTAAAAGGAAGTTATTACTACTCATGCAAGGTAAAACAATACTTTATTAGGCCAATACCACAAAAATAGGACGATGGAAATATCGTGTGCCTTTTTTACAGGAAACACGCAGTAGAAGCGCTTAAAAATCCGCACTCGAGTGCGTCAGCACAATGAGCAATGGCAGCACCCACAAACACGGAACTGTTGTAGCTGCCACTACGCCACCTCCAGCCTGCAAAACAAACTTCTGCCAAGAGAGAGTCCCACTGCCAGGCCCATGACTAGACAGTCAATCCTGAAGTGACTACCTATTAGGTGTATTAGTGCATGCACCCACCATCCGCATCCCATGAGCACAACAAGCCCATACTCACCACAGAGCAAAAGTACACCACCCGCCATCGGCTCGCAGACGATGAAGAAGCACTGACCGCCTCCCGCCCGAGCAATTGTACAAGGGCATGACGCCACCCACACCACACCCCCCTTTTAAGTCTTTCAAATACAACAGCTTCACCCACATGCACTTGGGCTGTGGTAGCGATAATGGTCCATTTCGCTCCTGAAATAGACAGACACACCAACCGGTGTTACCACGACTGATCTCTTATCCCAACCCGAAACCGCGGAGCGTCCAACCCTCCAACGGTTACTTCTACTAGCCCCACTACGAGACGTTAGCACTGTTCCCGTAAAGGCCAAAATTTAAACCCATGGGACATAATACCGATGACCTAGAAATACACCAGTGAGTCGACATCAGTAGCGTTTGATGTGGTGACAATCTAAAGCCCACTATTTCTTCTGCCAACCACCATTGCTACAGCCTCTAAAACGCTACTACGAAGCCATGATCCTCCCAAAACTTGTTGACCTAATCGTTGTGGCCCACAAGTTCTACCATTATATGAGCCCGTTCAAAAGTGTAAGCACCTAACTCCACTGATGCCACCTACCTTCAAACACCAAATAACCTTACTTCTAAAATAAATACATCCTACCTCACGTACTAGTCGTCAGGTAACACGACTACCTCACGTCCTTACAATATTTTCTATGTGCTATTGTTTATATGCAGACTCTTTAATATTTTATAGCTCTAAGGCAATTGCTACTTCTAAGCACTCACATGAGCGTCATTTGCGTCATGCATTTTAACACCCTTCCATTTTAATATGAAAAATAAAGCTGACAGCCTAATTCTTGCACTAGCGCAAAATTTAGTCTTGATGTGGTGCTAGTGCTACGAGATTGCCAAATGGTGGCAGCTTTTGTTTGCGTTTATTCCTTCAAATGGTTTGCGTTTTATGTATTGTGCAGATCTGTGTACTAAATAGTTGTGATAATTGAGGAGGCTACGTAATATTATTTGGAACTTTTCTCATCAGGTGGAGTGCAGAAATTGCTCCTCACTTTTGCGAGTGTTTCCTGCATATGGCTTTTGGTCACCATGATATTCGTTTAAGTGGGACATTCCACCGTTGTTTGCCACTTTCCTTCATCATGCAACTACTAGTCAGCTGTTGATTCAGAGTCACCATTAATTTCCCTCTGAATATAACTGAATATTCACAGAAGCAGCTGTGTACCTATGTTCAGTTTCTTTTTTAAAAGCAACTGGATGCTTAATTGCCCAAAAGCAACTAAGGAAATGCTCATTGTTGTCCCTTGAATGTCTCTCATGCGACAAATCACTATTACAAGAACTGCTCACGGCAAGAAATAAAGCAGTCAGTACTAGTTACAATGCATATCAGAGGAAGGTGGAGGCGTGTGCGGGAATCGCCTGACTGACTGCACATCCAAACTGATATATATTTACGTTTCCTGGTACTTGATTTTCCAACCATTTTCTCTGTATTAATCTTAGGTAAATTAATGGCGAACTAGTGTAGTCATTGGGGACTTGAATCGGATTCTTGAACATACTTTATGGGATTCACATAATCAATGCCCATTCGAATGTTGGAATGGATTATGGTACCGTAATCATAGTGGGCAATCCTATGCCATACGTCATATTATGTTGGCAACTAAAATGACACTGATTGTGCTAATGACAATTCTATCCACTTCCCTTTAAAACCTGATCTGTGCTCTCTTAATCGCCGAGTGCTGGCGTTGGAGGGGTTGGTAACAGACGAAGCCAACAGTAATCTATTTTTTTATAGTGGGGTAGGATAGGGGTAGAGGTTAGAATACATTGGTCTATACACCTGGACGGTGACTATATTGTGAGGTCACCTCAACGTCACCACTGGAACCCTAGTGGTAGGCCTCATCTATGATGATCACCATAGTGAATGCTGGTGGAGCCCCAAGGCTTATTGCGAATCGGCACAAATGGAAGTCGTCGTCGTGACAGATAAGGGAGTTGGATGTGCGTCTTCACTGAGGTACATCACATCATAACCTTCACCAAGGTGATGCAAACAGGCTTAAATAGGATCATAGAACTTCACTGACTTAAGGTGTGTCGCGTTATCGAATCCTCCAATCGCTGTCAGGTGATTACGTGAAGTTGGATGTTGTGATACAATTTCTTCTCGCCTTAATGAAGATATAGCATAGGATGAGCTTCTCTTCCAGTTTGGTGGTCGGTTTTTAAGGTTTTTGCCGTTTTGCGATCGAAGCAACACTAAACAGCGCAATAGTCCTCAATTCTTAAGCATAGAGTCTGATTTTCCTCCACTCTTATATATAAAAAGTCAGCCATCTTAATTGGAAGATAACTGCCTATTTCTATCATCATTTCCTCGTTTCTTTCCTATCATTTATGTAGCTCTCCAATAGGAAGATAGACTTTGTTAAGTACATTCGCGTGCTTGATTTACTTCATTGCGTTCATGTACAGCTTGCTCATGTAGTCGACGAAGTGGACACAGTTAATAATGCCCAGTCTCATGTCATTTTTTCTAGTTAAAGTGCCTAGCATGGGCTTTTTGTGGATCAACACAAATGAAATTTGAAAATCTTTTTTGATTGCTGCCTTAATTGGGTACTTTTCCCTCTTCGCTGTTTGATACTTTGCAACATATTGAGAAATGTAGAGTTAACAACTTAGTGCACGTATGCAGTATATGCTTTCGTCGAATACTGTAATGGAATCAACTGTGGAGCATAGTACGTTCGCTGGGCAACGGTTAGATTTCTAGGGGCTGCTAACAGTTGTGAATGCACTGTAGCTGGTATTT